ATCATGAACTTAAAGTTGATAAATCGATTCAGGGTTTGAGTGAATTGTTATATCCCTATGGAAATACATTAACCATATATTGATAATTTATTGTGCTGCACCGTATGTTTTAGGGCTCCTTGGTAAAACTGACACTCTACAAATTAAACATTAATCCAGCATCTGGATTAAGGGTCTAGCTGAGACTCCATCATGCAGAATCTTTAACGACCTTCTTTTTATCTGTTTGTTTTTGGTCTCAGTGGGTAAGACGTGTCTTCCTCCTCCTCCTCTTCCCTGGGTCTTCCTGCCCCGAGGAAGACCCAGGACACGCTGGAGGGACTATGTCTCTCGGCTGGCCTGGGAATGCCTTGGAGTTCCCTCGGAGGAGAAGAAGTGGCTGGGGAGAGGGAGGTCTGGGCCTCCCTTCTGAAGCTGCTGCCCCTGCGACCCGACCCCGGATAGGCGGAAGAAAATGGATGGATGGATGGATGGGTTTTCCCAGTTGGACCAAATGCATTACTGTACGCAGAAACAAGACATGGCTGGAAGGAGCTGTATCCATCTACCAGGTCGGAGCAACTGGAAGGAGAGTCTAGACAGAGTACCTGTTGAGATACAGCAAATGTTGGACCCAAGTAAATGGGTGTTTAAGGCTGAACATGATGAGATCGATGTATTGTTAAGGAAACATTTGAGTTGAAAGGCGGCCTGGTGGTTCAGTTGGTAGAGCTGATGCCTCTCAGCAAGGTCGTCGATTCAATTCCCAGTCAGGGGACCTTTCTGGGTAGAGTTTGCATGTTTCCTCCATGCATGCATGGGATCCCTCTGGGTACTCTGGCCTCCTCCCACAGACCAAAAACATGACTGTTAGGTTAATTGATAACTCTAAAATATCCCTAGGTGTGAGTGAGAGAGCTTGTCTCATTTGTCTCTATGTGTCCCTGTGATGGACTTGCGACTTGTCCAGGATGTACCCCGCCCCTTGCTCTGTGACTGCTGGAGTGATATTTGAGAAGTGAAATTAAGTTTATATGATTTACAGAAACTGTGCAATAATTGGTTAAACTAAATTAATAAATTGTGCATAAATTTGGGCACCAATAAAAAAACTTAACTCAACATTTAGTAGCTCCTCCTTTCACAGAAATAACAGCCTCTAAACTCTTCCTACAGCTTCTAATGAGAGTCTGGATTGTGTCTGAAGGTATTTTAGACCATTCTTCTTTACAAAACATCTCTCGTTCATTTAGCTTTGATGGTTTCTGAGCATGGACAGCTCTCTTTAAGTGACACCACAGATTTTCAATAATATTCAGGTCTGGGGACTGAGATGACCATTCCAGAACGTTCTACTTGTTCCTCTGCATGAAGGCCTCAGTAGATTCTGAGCAGTGTTTAGGGTGGTTGTCTTGTTGGAAGATGCAGCTGGTGATGGGTCTTCCCGTGCCGAAGCTTAGGAGCGTGTGTCGGGGAATTCCAGAAGTTTTCAGTGATTCGAGGCATGTGAAGTTACGTCACTGGTGACGTCTGAAGCTTCACTGGTTCATGAAGTGATTAGAAATTTAGCTATTAAGCTATTTAAATCGCAATGGATCCCTGTAACACTCCCGTGCAAATATTCTTGAACTTTGTTACTTTACGAGAGAGAGAGAGAGAGAGAGAGAGAGAGAGAGAGA